AAATTAACCAATCTTTGTTAAGCATTGTAGGTAATTAAAATTTAAAGAAGTGTATTTATATACATGATTATTTTTAGTCATTGAATTTTGTTATTATTACATTTTAACACGAAGTCTTCATTGTGGATAGTATTTATTTCACAAAACTATATTTTTGCTAAAAATAATTAAATTAATAAGGTAACGATTAAAAATATTAAGAATATGCTTATATATTTTATAAATTAGTATACTAAATATTTATGRTGAATATTAGCAGCGTGTAATGCAATGAGTATATTGTTAATATTAAAACTGCCCTGTTCAGTGTTCATAAATATTTCTTTACAAATTTACATAAAATGTATATGATGTGCACGCAATTCAATAACTTTTACTATAAAGTTACGACATACAGTTGTGAAAATAAACTAACTCATGTCTTATAAAAAATAACAATGATCTATTTAGAACATTGAGGTGAATAACTTTTAAGGTTTATAAATTTAAATAATTGTGACTATCAGATCATAGTAAGTATGCCTACAGCCTACTTATATTAATTTACGTGTAAAATTATTTAATTTTTTAATTAGTTTTTTATGTAATATCGAGTACATTCTATCTACTCATTAGCATTAATTTAGTACTAATTTGAATAGAGTTGCATTTTAAAATAATTATATTATCATCGAAATGTAATTGCTGCAGTATGAAATTTGGTGAACATCAATAATAATATGTATATCGTTGTAGCAATAATTCAATATGATTTTTGGGGTTTTTGAATCAGAACTAGGAAGAATYAATATAAATATAGTGTAGGTTCTAAGAAACAATTTAACACTTGATGAATTACATTTGTTTGTTATTTGTATAATATACAAATGTATTAATTATATCATAGTTAATAAATTGTAAATCAGCGTTCTTATGAATACAAACAATTATATAGATCTTAATTATTTCGTATAATGTTGATCCGTTACATTAAAGTGTTTACAACCTAAGCAAGTAACAAATTACGGGTTATTATAAAAAAATAACCAGTTCAACCGTCATGTACCTGCATAATGGTAAATGGTTACTCTMATTTCATAAACGTTCTTTGATCCTAAAAACAATTTTAAGAGGATTATATTTTTTATATAATTATATAGATATTAAGAATATTTCACGTTTTTATAGATAAACAGAACTACAGAAGATTTGTGCTATGTATAGTCGGAGATTGTTATTTTTATGTAATTTTTAAATCCATAGTTCTTGCTTATACCGTATTGTGATCTGATTTAAAATATGTTGAAAAATTTAATTCTATACTCCTAAGTCTAGGAAATAAATGTCAGGAAAACTTTAAATAATAAAAATAATGAATAAAATAGAAGCACGAATGATAACTGGTTCAAAATTATGTTTAGAACYAACTCAAAAAGATATTAACAGATTGCATAACGTGCTGCAGTRTGTAATGCTGCGCTATAATGCAATACTGTTGTAGAAACATTTCCAACACTTAAGTCTTGAATATACCACAAAAACTAATGCATACACTATACTCGTACAGTATATTATATTGTATACATTATAGTAGTCTAGTAGTCTAGAGTATATTATATTATAATATATTACACTCTACTAATTTAGTTTAAAATTATTAMACTTTAGTCACGATTTAAAAAAAATGTGTTATTGCAATTACGTAARTCCATCATATATGCTTATCGAGTTTATTCRAGAAATATAATTTAAACGCGCTTACAAAATATTTCGAAAAATTTAAAAATGTGGTGTGTATATTTTTATAAGTTAAATGGCGAGAAATAAAAATACCGMACACCGAACGTGTGACTTACCCTTCGAATCGGCTACGTAGTCGTTAAGCCTCAAATACCCGTCTGCGTCTACCCAGCCGTACGTTCCGACCACGCTTCCATCTTGTAGTCGTCTCTCTTTACGGTACTGACCACTAATGGTTTGATACTTGAAATACCTTTCGGGCCCCTCGTCCGTCTGTATATGGTACTGCGTGTTCGGCTCCGTGTCCCATCCTCCRTCAATTTTGGACGCTACTGTTCCCAAAATGGTGAGCTGAGAATAAAAATATTCATACRTTTTATTAGTACACATTATAAAATACTAAATAGAAATAATATGATGTYACGTCAARCATTATATAAATTAAAAGTATTGCAGTTTTACAATATTAAATAAATTGGACTATTTTATTCTATTGGGATTTTTTTTCTTCAAACACTGTATTTACCTATCCCCCGATTTGCAGTTCTGTAGACTTATTACGTACGATGACATGCTTACTATATGCCTTTCATTAGGGTAGCGGACCATTTTGATTATAATATAGAGACATGTATTATTTGTTATATTTTATTCGAGCACATGTACCATAATTACGTCTCTTGAATYAAGTAAGTAATATCATGTCATGTATAATGAATACCAATTTAAATATTTTACACTGCAATTCATCCGACAGTCAACAATATCCCTTTATGGACAGAAATATTTTGGTTTTGGTTACATTATGAACAATTCCGATCTGATGCATAATATTAATCAACCGGTTTCGATAAACATTTRACTAAAAAATTGTTGATGATGATAATTATTACAGTACGTTGGTGGATAATAATATAATCTGTCAGTTGACTGGACAAGACAAAGCAAACCATATTATAACCACGCAACATGCATAGCACGCTTATACCTTTGATGTGTAGGTATACATATACATTTTTCTGGTCAGTGCCTTTTAAGGTCTTAGTCCGACCAAGAACCTATTCTCTCTCTAAATGCACATATTTATATTATATYTACGAATATATTTCCTTTTTATATACAATATTTTCATTCTTTTTGAACCTTCATACTTACTGWATATTCTAATAAATCTTTATTACGAATCTAAACTTTCAAATAAGATCTACTAACATTTATTCACCTTACCTACGAGAATCTGCATAACTAATAATTTTCCGTATAGAAGTTTTTCTATCTTATCTTGTAGACGACTGGTTTATGATATAAATTATAAGTTATTTTATTATGTAGACGTGTAGTATAGAGTAGAAATACGATTTATTCAGAATAACATAAGTGACTATAAATTGTATACACACTACACAGGTAAAAAAATGTATTATATATGTTGTTAAAAACTTAGAATGCGTATTGTTTCATTGTGTATTCAACGTATACCCATACACTCGAATGACTCGATAGCCAATGGAGCTGATTTACGTGTCATTTCCCGCACACTTATAAAATATATACACACATTATACATCAAGACTGAAGAGAACAGAACTCATCCACGTACAAACAAATGTGTGCAAGTAGCTATTTCAAAAGTTTGTTTGAAAAAATTGTCAGTTCAACAAAACAAATGAATACATTATAATATTACATTAATGTTCTAGCATATGATATATTATAACAATATATTATGGTATTATTCAAACTTAACAAAATAATATTATCTAAAACATGAATTAAATACATTTTTGATTTACCGTAAATAATATTTTTAAGTTTAACGTAACTTTACTAAGTTAAGCCAAATTATAAATTAATGTTTATAAATATATAGACACTATGTAGTATAATATATAGAGCGATTAACTAATTCTTAATAATATACGTTTAGTCTTAAAATCCCGGAAGCTGGGAAATAAGTAATTTTTGAACACAATAAGTCCATATAAAACATTATTTTACCATTTAATAACTGCTACCCATTATGTAACGGTATTAAGCTAATATTAAAGCATAAGGTTGTAAAAATATATAATTAAAATTGATAAAAAATKCTATACAATTTGAAGCTGAACGTTTTTAAATGTAATAATTATAAACAAAAATGCATAAATAAATAAATTTGAACATTAGTTTTGCCATAAAAAAGATTTACCTATTTATTTTTTATCATTACTATGAATTTGGACACTAAAATGTTCAAAATATTTCGTATGGAAATATTATGTAATTCAATTTACCAATAATTTATTTAAAAAATTAAAACGAGGAATAAAATATGTATTATATATTATTATAATATGCATTTATATTATGTAAATAATTATCAAAAATGCCTAAATTTGTTAAATATAATGGTACCTAAATATTGTATCTATTATATATTTTTTTTTGTGAAATAAATATTGAAGTACGCAAAAGTAACACAATTTGTATTTGATTTCAAAAAACAAATTTATGTGTTAAAACCATCACAAAAATAAATATACATAACATGTTGTGTCGTCGTGATCACTATTTCTAAGGTAAGTATTGATTGCAGTTCTATAATTGATGAAATATGATGTATAGGAGATTATTAGAGACCTATATCATGTATTCATATGTACGTAAGATTAAATGGTTTTTATAATCTTGTTTTAGAATTAAAATTATTACTATACGCAATAACGGCTGTTATATAATAATATATTATATCCATTGTCATGAATAATAAAAGAATGATTAATTGGTTTTATCTTTTAGGGAAATCACGAATAATATCCATTTTTTTTTATGAATTACACTTTCTTACATTAATTAATGATATCGTCAATTTCGTAATATTTTGACAAATTTTTTCTTTGTCTACCTCCAATCTTTCTACTATATATATATAAAAAAAAAAACCAAAAAAAAAGTATTTATGAGTATGGTATAGAAACACCTATGTATACACAATATATGCAGAATGCACATACCTAATACCTATAATATATTATTATATTTGTTCAATTTACGTCACCGACAATATTCTTCACAGCATGCAGCAGTATAGACTATACTTTAACCACAAGGCGACATTTCGTAATAGTCAATAATATTATAATATTATGTTCAGCCTACACCAGTTTACAAATAGAGGAGAACTCATTACTACTTTTTACACCCACGACAATAACAAGACTACACAATATAGTTATTTCTATTTGCTTATTTTCAACCATGGGAGATGATTTCGTACACTTGCACATATTACATGAATGTTGTGCAGCAATGCTACTCATCCTATATCTATAGCATATATTATATTAAAATATGTATCAGGAAATATTAGTACACGTATAACTATAACATATTGTTGGATGTACAGTGTCGGTAAGCTTCTTCTCGATAACATTATAATATAAGTATGTAAATTATATAGATATTTTAGTATTGACACCTTATAGTAAACTATTAGGTAACATTTTTTTTTATGTAATCGTTCGAGTTTGTGTAGATCGTAAAAAATTGAAAAATATTAAACAAATTTAAATAAACATTATATTTTAGTGTTACGAGATAAATTTTTAGATAATCACAAGGTATAACGCGAAATAACAATTTTATAAAT